GAAGCCAAGCATTCCACAATGGTAAATCAAAAGTTTAGATAGGTTTGGGATTTTTTCATAATGGGGATGTAGATAGGTATTTGCTTTAGAACTGCAAAAGGAGAGCATTTCAGAGAATCATCTAGTTACCTATTTTAAATGTGGCTATATTGTATTTCAGACCTGTAAGATGCAAAGACAGGAGGACACCTCCATGAAGGTTACTGTGAATTTTGTTCTTTGTATTGTAATTCTTTGCAAGAAACTGTACAGATATATCTTAGGCTTTCACTAGCTGTTATCCTTTCCTCAGAAATGTTTGTGAAAACATTCAAAGTTTTGCAAACATTTAAGATCATGTTTTTTAAACTTATCAGTGTGAAGTACAGTTTAAAATATTGTCATTTTGCAAAGAAGAGTATATTTTATCCATGTTTATTTTCCTGTTCTTCACTTTTGATCCCTCAAATTGTGTCCTGATCCATCTCCTCAGGCCTCCAAAGGTGTTTGCAGAATTGAATCAATAGCTAGGTAATGATAAATAGACCGACAAAGTCCTATGGCCTGGTTTTCCTGTAATTTGTGCTCACATTATCCCAAAGGCCCAGACATCAAGAGCCACCTTTGATGAGCATCTCAGGAACGGCACGGGTTCTACAGAGGAGGCAGTAGTTTCTATAATATATGTTGATTCATAAACAGGGGAGAAATTACCATTTGCTTCTTTCTCTCCACACAAGAGATTTCTGCCTTTACTTGTTGTGATGGGCAGTATAGTGACCCTGTGTGATGCTTTCTGCTTTGGGGTGCCTCAGATTCCAGGGAGGCCATAGAGGTAGAACCATGGAAGTTCCTCTGACCTGGTTGCTCTGTGGTAGCTTGGCTCTATGTGGAGCTGCCAAGGAAGGGCTCCAAATACGAGAGTGGGGCAAGACATTGGAAAAACACAAGTAGGGGGCTCCAGCAGCAAGTTGCCAAAAGTAGGGGGAAAACAAAGTCTTTCCCTGGGTTGCAGCAATATTATTGCAATTGGTGGCAGGTTGTTATTGCTATTCCAGCACATGAGGCTCATTCAGGAACTGAGAGAGTAAAACCCAATTCCTTGCACTTTACTATTGGCTGGAATTACATTTTCAGAAAGGCCCAAATAATTGTGAAACTCTTCAGCCTTTATGTGGAGGCTTAAAGAACATGCTGTGTTTTGCTGCTGTCTTATGCAGGCTGTATGCTGAATGGAAAACTGTATCCCTTTGGGCACATTGAGAGGACAGAGGAGTGCTACAGATGCAACTGCAGTGAACGTGGAATGGATTGCTGTGCCCTGTAAGTCTGAACTTCTTATTACCATCATTGCTTGTAGGATGAGCACAGCTTTCCATTGCTGAGAATGAATGGGTTTGTAAGGGCACAAGAGAGCCTTTTCTCACCCATGCCACAGAGCTAGTGAAAGCTCTCAAGCTAACATTTACTTTCGCTTTACCACTGGCAGCTTTCATACTCCTATTGCTTTCAACAAAAATAAATGTAAAGTAGTTTTCAACAAAGAGCACTGTGACTATGATGTGGTGCAGAAGGATATAAAATTAATACAATTCTTTGATAACTCCTGTCCTGGCAGGGATCTGAGGGCCTAGGCTTTGAAGTTTATGGGTATATGAACCTCAGGCTTAAGAAAGTGTCTTCGCCAAGATAAAACACCCTTCTACCACCTTTACAATATGTTCTTGCGTAAACAGTGCACTGTATATTTTAGTATTGTTGCTGTGTGCCTTTCCTTAAGATGGTTGTCCTTTCTCACACACAAATGTGACAGACTTGAATAGAGTAAAGCCAAAGTACATTATATGTAGCACTGTCAATTTAATGTCAAGAAGGGTTTGTTTGTAAAATCACGTTTACTTATGATCTGTGAGCTGAAATTCCTCATGCTCCCTCTGGTTTTTCACCTCTCTATAGGGGTAATAATCAACCTACTGGCTTAAATGACTGGATACACAAACTGCTGTAATGTGTTCTGCACTTACTCTCCCACACAGAGAGCTGATCCCTCTCAAGAATGTGAGAGCGGCACTGAAATGCTGGCCTAAAATGCAAGGTTCTTAGACTGCTTTCATTTTAGTGCACCTCTCTGAGCTGTCCACAGATATTAGGTGGTTTACTGGGCTATTTTAATAGCATTGCTGCTCTGAAATCATGCTGTATTTCTCTCTGGTGATTGCCTTGCACCAAAACACACAGGAAAAAAATGAGTTGGTCATCTTACATTACTCTGATTATCTCTGTTGTTATAAGTAAACTGTAACCAGAAACTCCAGCTGAAGAAATAGCAAGGTAAATCTTGAACAAAGTCTCCAAGACTTTTCTCTTAGAGGGAAAGACTCTTCCCTTAGGAAGAAAGAGGATACTCTATCCATCAGAATAAGTGGAAAGGAGGCACAGAAGTGGGCAGAGCAATGATATTCTTGTAATGTTTTTAGTAAGGCATTATCCAGTTGGGAAGCAAATATAACATTTCAACAGAGCTACAACTGTTAGAGAAACCTGTTCCCTACCCAAGCAAGGCACCCATCATCCTATACATGAACAACATGAAGAAATGTGATGTTATGTGGGTCACAAATGACCCAAATAATCAGTACATGAGCAGACTATCCCCATAGAGTTTGCTGTTGTGAGTGGTTTCAGCACCACAGCATTTTGTTAGATTTCCTCTGAATTCACAGACCATGCAAAAGGCTTCTTCATTGTCCCTTAACACGGCCCAGGCTTAGGCAGGTCACTCTGCTGTGGTCCCAAGAAAACTGTTTGCTAGTTCCCTCCATAGCTTGCCTAGCTCTCTGCATGGCTTGCACCTAGAAAACAGGGGGAGGTCCTGCAGTGGGAGCAGATGGGCAGCCTGGAAAGTTGAAAAATACACAAGCATGTTGGTGGGATGTTTTGTTGTTTCATAGTTGAGCAATGAGTGCATTCTTTGTTACTCAGCATCAACCCAGAAAGTTGTCCTTTTTTCATTTTGGCTATAACAAATCCCATAAGTTTTACTCCAGAACATCTGCAGCATCACAAATTTCCATGTGACTGATAATTCTTATTCACAAGAACTGCTGCAAGGTGCCTGACAAGCAAAAACTGCACGGCAAGTACATAACATGCAAGAAGAAAAATTAAATGGCTCAGGAATTTTAACAGAATAAATGCAGTGCAATTTGATGGCCCTTTTATTCCAAAATATTGTGGAACATTTGTTCCAGATGACCTCTGAGGACATGGAGGAGCCAATACCTTGAGCAGGATCCCATGCTACTTCCCACAGTATCGTCAGCTTAGAGGAAATTGTTATTTCTCAATAGCTAAAGGTCACAAAGAGCCAGCATGCAAAGCTAGGACACATCCTTAGGCCCTGATGTACATGAATTAGGTCAGGCAGCACAGGAGCAGGATGTGAGAAGGGAGACTGAACTCCCTCCATCTTCACTACAACCAACACAAAAGGCAGCTTTGGCCTAGGATTGGGGTCTAATACTTGAACATCCTACTATGCCTTTCCTCCTCTCCTTTAATTGGAAAATTAGCATGGTCTCAAACACCAGCAATATCCCAAACCACAATGATGCTGTTCAATTGGCTTCACACATATTTCTGAGACATCCAAAGTGAATATGTGGACTCTTTTGATTTCAATGAAGAAATCCGCAGGGCTGACATGTCCACTGATTAGGAGTCAAGGGTATGACTTATCCTTCATTTCAGTGCAGGGCATAAATCAGCATTGCCAGGTCTAATTTACTAGTGACAGGCTGATTGCCACAGCTTTATCAAACACCTTGCAAGCACTTCATCTCTTTTCTGTCATCCTGAAGAGTGATGGTCTAATAACAGAAGAAAAACCAATTTTCCCAACCAGCTTACTGAGTTGAAAGGCAGTTAAGATGTTGCTGGCAGTAGTGGTCTCACTGTGACCTTCATCACACCAATTCTGGCCTTCTCTCATGGACCTGCTGAGCTACCTCTCAGCTCTTGGGGTTGGGCAGAAGTGTGGAGTATCCAACCCAACTTAGAGTTCAGCCTCTACTCCCAAAACCACACAAGAAGTCACCACAATTATGCAGTCAGAGTACTTAGTTCAGGTACTGCAAACCCTGCAGCTCTGGTAATAAGGGAAAGACTTCATCACCAAGAGCCACATAGTTTGAAGTACTTGAACCTGGTATGTGAAAGCTAAGCAAAATGGAACCATACTGCACCTCTTTGCAATGAAATTACTGTCCTAAGCAGCTGGAAAGTGTGTCTCCCCTGACATATCCAGTCTCTGCAGAAAAGGAATAGTTTCTCACTGGCTATAAGAATTAAGATATAAAATATATAATGCCTCTTTCTTCATAAGAGAGGACCTGAGCATATGCATCTTCTACATGATGGAAAGCTGAACAAGGAAGAAAATTATTATCTAGGACCCATGTTTTAAACCCTAGATGGCTCAAACTAAGCATGTAATTTTGTTGTGAGTGACAACCATCATGTCTCTAATGGTTTTCTCAGGGCAAGTGGTAAATATTCATTCTATCCTTGAAAAATGCTTCCTGTAACTGCCTCCCAACTGTGGCACAAAAGCCACACCTATTTCTCCACTGTCTGTTAAAACAAATCTTTCTTCCTGTATGTAATTGCCTTATCCTAATAATGTCCACCCCATGAGGTCATTTTGCAGAAACTTCATTGGTGCTGGATATGCACGGTCAGTTTGCTCAAGGGCTGTTACCACAAATTCCTTCTCTATATAAAGTCTCTGAGAAGATGAGCTTTGCACCAGCCATCTCCTTACTGGAAGTCTCATAATTCTGCAAGGATGGTGAGTCCTTACATCTTGTACTGTAAAAGACCATGGTATGTTGCTATAGATTTTAAGGGAGTTTCTGTTGGATTTATCTCAGTACTTGACATGTTAAGAAACTTGGAGAACGTATAAATTCTGTGTTATGAGAACTACATTTGCCTCCTCTCATCTCTTGGGAATGACTTCTTTTCAGAAGTCACCAGTCCTACACTGTCTGAAACAACACATATACATACAGTATGTGTATGTGATTCTTGGTCTACCTTTCTTCTCTTACCAAAACTTTAATCACAATAAATCTTAATTAATCACAGCTAATTCCATTCTAGAATTCTTGCACTTATTTCCTTCATATCCCCAAAGGAAGCCCTTCAAACATTCCAAACTAATACTGAAACTTCAGCTGAACTTTCAGAAAAAACCCACTAACAAAGGTCACAGAATATAGGATTATCTAGGTTGTAAGTGACACCTGCAAGTAAGGTACAGGGCCAAGTCTTGAGTATTCAACTTCAGCTTAAGTTATTTCACTTGTTCCTAATCCTTCAATATTAGTGTGAAACATTCTGTAGTTCTTCAGACTGCAGTAAAGACATTTTTGCAACTCTAAGTGAGGTTAGTGGAAAAAACAGTTAGCAACCAACTCTACAGAGAAAAAAAAAAGACAAAAAAAAATAAATGGAGAGTGGAAAGGAATAGAACACACATTTTCCACAAACAGTATCTGGGCCTACTAGTCTGTACTTGATTTTAACGACTAGGAAAGACAGACATTTTTTCCCCTCCCATATGATGCTTTATCTCCACTTCTACAAATGGTTTAGTATTCCTGAAAAGTATGTTAAAGTGTCTAAACTGCAGTAGACAATTGGATTTTAATTTGAAACCACAATGTATTTTCCTGTTATTTATTATCAAGGCATCTTAATAGTTACTGAAGGATTGGTATGAATTCTGTTTTCTTGTTCAGAACACCATCGTGGCCTGCCTTCTCGCTCTTGCCATCAGCATGCCATTGTCTGATGCTTCTTGTGCCCTTATGCCATTCAAGCCAGGGATGTCCAATGGTGTGGTTGTAGGTAAGAAGTCAACTGCCCTCAACTTGACAGACATCATCAGAATCACTGCTTGATTTGATTTGTCCATTCTGTGCAATTCATCACAATTTAGAAATAAGTAGAAACAGTGGAGAGGAATTAAAGGGAAATGGGGTATGGAGAGCATTATTATAATATGCTATAAAAGGAACAAGTTATTCCAGGAGCTTCACACAGACCAAATTGCAAATGTTCTTTTTCCAGGGAAGTAGCATAGTTTTAGTTTACCCATCTGCAAGAAGTAGTAACTCATTTTTACCATGGAATCACATCTAGAAATCAGAGAAGGGAGAGCACATGTGTGTAAGCGTGTGTAGTCAGTATGGAACAGGAAACAGATTGACAATATTCAGAAACATGCAATTTACTCATGTCCTGTTTCTGTATCCCAAAACAAATACTTAAAAGAAGAATGGCTGTATCCCTTGAGTCTGGATCTTCCCTTCATGAACACAGCTAGTCTGTCAGTCTACAGATGAGGAGAGCTGCAGGAAAATAAGTTCCCAAAAGAGAAGCATGCTATTTTTTGGACACTGCAAGAGTTGTCTTGTTCTTTTCTCATAAAATTCTGCTTTCCAGATCAGTTATTTAGGAGGCCTATTGTCTATTCTGTGGCTGTTGAACAGGAACTTTACACCCAATATTTGCTTTCTTCCTGCAGCTGAGGATGGGGAAAAGTTTTCTGGCCAGATGTAGTCTTGCTTTAAATGAGGAGTCAACAAGACATGGGGTTAATAAGAAAGTCAAAGTCTTTTTATCCAGGTCTGTGTCTAGCTGTCCTTCTCCTGGGTGCTTCAAATTCCATACTTGAAGATGAAATACTCCAGGAAACCCCATGCTTCCAGGAACCTCAGGAGACAGAGGGACACAGGTCTCTCTTCTCCATGCATTAGGATAGCACACCCTGCTCTGTTGGGGAATCTCCGTGTTTGGTAGATAGGGATATTAATGCAAAAAGCCAGCAAAGGTCCCACCCATTTTGTACATGCAACAGTGCTGTTAGTGCAATAGGTCTGACACTGAAGTCTGCTCATACACTACATTTTCAGGCTGCCTTGATGAGGAAGAGGAAGGAAAGGTCCATGAATTTGGTTCCAGATGGAGGACCGAGAACTGCAATGATTGCTCCTGTTCCAGGGATGGAATTGGCTGTTGCACTAGGTGAGTTCACAGTAGCAGTGGGGTTTTTTCCTCTGCTGCCATGATACAGCACAAACCACTTCCCTTCACACAGGAGTTCCTGAGAAACAAACATAACCCTTCTCTCACTCACTTCCTATCACAAAGTTATGCATTAATACAACACCATCATCTCTGAACATGCAAGAAATTCCTCTGAAAAATAGAGATCGTGTTTAACAAATAATTATTGATTTAAAATAAAAAGAGAATTTAATTATTCTTGGGGATAAAACATCAGGCAAGTTATTGATTCAAGAGAGAACACTCTAAGAAATTTCTATTGATCCTAGTCCAGATCTTCACAAAGCCATACATTGCCTCACTTTCCTCTGTGAAGCAGCTCAAGATACATTATCTGTAATATTTCCTATAGTGATACCAAACCACTCATGCAATATTAGTTCCATACTGTGGGAGAAGAGAAGAAGCAGTGATACTGGAATAACAGATAAACACAACAAACATCCCTGGGGTGCAAATCAGACCGGAAAAACTGAAACTCTCCCCTCATTCTGCTAACACAGCAGGCTAAGTAACATTTGAGCTGGGAGCTTTGTGAAAGTTCCCTTTTCTGCTCCCAAAAGTCTCCTCAGTAAAGCCTCTTCATATCAAAGGTGCAGATACCACCTGAAGTGGAAGCTGCTTACTTCTTGGTCTCATCACCTCTTTCTTTTCCCAACACAGCTATATGAGACCAGTCGACTATGATGAAGAGAAATGTGAAAGCATTTTCAACAAGGACACTTGCTCTTATAAAGTGGTGGAGAAGGATGATCACTCAAAAGAATGCCCAGTCCATTCATGGGTGGGGTAACAGAAGAATGGTGGACTGGGGGCATATTTCCTTTTATTATTTTAATGGTTCTCTCTCACAAATTCAAAGACACTTAAAATGCAGCTGTTGAGGGAAATCTACTCATAAAACCCAACATATAATGAAACTGAGTATCTACTCACAAAAATATCCCTTGGTTTCTCTGCCTTATGCTTCACCGTGAACAAAGAGCTGACTTGTTCCTTCCTTGAGGTCAGATATTAAAGGTGACATTTTAAAGCATCCTTAGCAGCTGCTAATCTGTATTCTTCTCTGGTCATGTTTCAGTGCCAAGGAACATATTCTATAATCTGTGCACAGTTGTATCTTAAAGCTAAAATAAAATTAAATAAAGCATCAGAAATTCATGTAACTTACATTCTTCTTTAAGGATGAAAACCAAAATAATTAAAATTCAAAAAACCATGGGAAAAAAATGAAAAGATACTTTAAAATTTTTCTGAATGCTCTGTTTTCTATGACAATGTCTTACATAATTAACTTTTGTGCTATATCCCTGAAGACCAACCTAAGAGGTCCTGCAATATCTACCAGCTACCCAGCGTAACCCAGTACTATTCTTCCATTACACTGACAGAATATCAGACCCAATCCTCAGCCTGAGCTTTGAGTAAAAGAAAGGGTCCTTTATTCAGATTAACCCTTAAAAATGTAAAGGTTTTAAATTGGGCTATGGGCAGCATTGTGGCTGTATAGAGTGACTGATCTGTACTGGGCTCAGACAGGGAAGCAGCTCAGCAAAGCCACAGTCAGTAACTGAGAGGGATATGCTTGCCAGTATGAGCTCTCCTTTGGGGGACTGCTTCATAATCTTTGTAGCACATTTATTCTGTTGCCTCTTTCCACAAGTGACTATGAGCATCCTACGTCTCCATGTTCTATTTCTCCACAACAGGAAGTGTGTCCATGCTTCCACAGCTTGTCATTTCAAATTCTGGAATGAGCATATACCTCATGAGCAATGCCCAGACCTGCTGTCTGCAGGGTAAAGGCAAACCTCAGCTTGTATTTGCTTTAACTTAGTGATTCACTAGGTGATGTCCAGAGGTCCCTTTGAATACTGACATTTCTGTGATTCTACCCACATTGCTGGGAGACTCTGTCCCCACTGCAGCTGGGCAGTGAACCTGTTCACTAGCCTTTGCAAGCCCTTGCTGAGATAAAGTATAATTGAAGTCATCTTCTAATGACACCATGCCTAGCACAGACTCTAGCTCTTCAAGGTTGAGTCTAGAGGACTTGAAAATAATTTCTGAGAAGCTACTGCACCCTGGTGCATTGAAACTGTAGGGTTGCTCTTTCTAATTTTCACCAAAGGAGGTGACACAGAAAGGGGAACAGCATGGATAGAGAGATGTTTTACCAGGGGAGACAGTGATAAGACAAGGGGTAAAGGTTTTAAAATGAAGAGGCTACATTCAGATTACACAAGGGAGAAATTCTTTAATGCGAGGATAGTGAGACTCTGGAACAGGCTGCTCAGAGAACTTGTGGATGCACCATCCTTAGAAGTGTTTTAGGCCAGGTTGGATGAGGCTTTGAGCAATCTGGTTTGGTGGAAGGTGTCCCTGCTCATGGCAGGAAGGTTGGACTAGATGGCCTCTAAAGGTCTCTTCCAACCCTAAAGAGATGTCTTTCTGACTGCCACAGACTTCCAGGTGCAGTTGTAAAGCAAGTCCATAGAGAGCATCAAGACATAAGTAAGTTGTGACCAAATATTTACTTTCCTTTGTTAAGGCTGACTAGCACCCAAACTTCCAAAAAATCCAGCCTGAAGCAGCACTTCTACACCATCAAGAGCTATTTAGTCACATTTTAAATCCACCCAAGCACCTTTGTCCACCATCTTTCAAGTCTTCTTAGAAGTTTGCTTCTACTGTTTGCTATGACGAAATAGGAAAGCTTAATTTCCTGCCTAATCCAAAACACCTCATAGAGTACCCTGCTCTCCTCTTGTTTGCTTCAATTTTCAACATGGAAAGATTATTTTACCTATTGCATCTAGTTTTGGAGCACCAGAAGCACAGTGGGGACCTGGCTCCCCCCTTCTGTAGCAAGGAGTCTAGCTGTGGGAAGATGACAAAACCCTCAAACCTGGAAAAACAGAGACAGAGCATACAAAACTCTGTTTTGAACTTCCCACTTTTGCCAAGTTATGTTTTGCCTTGGTATTTCTCTACTTCAGCATTCACAGCTACAGTCCCATACAAGGCATACATTCCCCAGTCTCAAAATTTTTAGATCTTAACACCACTAGCTCCATATAGTGGAAAGAAAATATTCACAGGAAAGTTTTCTCCACTATCCTGTCAGGTTAATGGTTCAGGAGGCTCTGCAGAACCTTGATTGGGCAAATCATCCAGGCTGAGCAGAACAGCTTGTGTGCTCACCCCAAATTTCCTTTTCATCTCCTGAAAGCACACAGCTTTCCTGCTAGAGAGGCAGTTTCAGATAGCTGGCCCTCCTCTTCCAGTAAGTCTTTTTAAGGCAAGTGTTTAAAATATTGGAAAGGTGTTCTTGTCCTAGAAATGAAGTCAAGTGCTTACCAAAGCTTTTAAATCAAACACCAGAACACACATATAAATCTGATGAAAGCTTTCCTATTAAACAATGCTTATCACCTGAAGCTTAATAGCTTTGTACCCATAAATATATTGTGGCCAATAAGATTTTTGCCCCAATCTTACAACAAAAATCCAAGTCAAACAAGGAAAGTGCATATCTTATTTATATTATGCATTCCAAAGACATTATAGATTTTCAGCTCACATCCTGCTCTGTGCCAATTTTAAAATCTCAGATAAATTAAATTCATGGGAATTTTGCTTGTTCAATTTGCTCTTAGTTAACTCTTCTGTTGGTATGCAGAAAAGTTTGCATTGGCACCTTTTCAAAACCCGAAAGTTTCTGTTCAAATCTAATGTTGTGTGCATGTTTCCCTGGGTCAAGCTGTGGTTCATTTAAGGGTGAAACTGACTGGGATTGATTTGCTTTATGACAGTTCTACATGAAATGGTCATATGACCAATCTCAAATACACAGCAAGGCTGGGTTACTTTAACCTTCTTCCACACACTCAAAATTCTGTTTTCACATTTTATTTGTCTCAGGAGGTCTTAAACACTGACCCATGCTCTTTACACTTCTCCAGAGCTTCAGTGCTTTTGCACACCAGTGATTCCAGTAGGTCTCCATTAAGGATCCCTGATAAACGACTGTCCTTTGCCATCATAAGATTATAACCTCCCTCAAAATATCCCAGTATTCTTTCCCACTGTAATTCCAGAGGCTTATCCCATAGCTGCCCTGGGCAGCTAAAGATGGGATGAATCTACATGAACAGGAAGAAGTAATTTTGTTTAGCAGCTAATTATACTGGCACAGAGACTGAAAGTGTTCATTCCCCAAGCTGTATAATGCAGAAATCACTCCAGTTAGCTGTATGAAAGACAGGGGAGCTGAACTGGGCTGAAAACCAGCTTGGGACTCTGTAGCAAGACTGCTATCCTGAGACAAGTTGCAGTCTCATTAGAGTACAATTCTAATGAGTACATTCATTAGTGTCTCCCTGAAGTACTTTGTCTCCCCTTTTCAGTTCCTACTTTGGGACTTGCTTGATCTCTCCTAACAGCACTATCTCTTAGTGTCCCCATGTTCTGCATTCAAGGGGAAGCTTTCTGGGGGCTGCAAGAGCTTATTTTTTTTGGGTCTTATTTTTTTTTTGCTGAACAAAGGGATGCTGCTCTGCACACCAAAGCTGATGGCCAGGGAGAGGTGAGAAAGGGTCTGACTTGGTGCAGTGTTCATTCAAAACTCTTTAGACTCTTAAAGTAATAAAGTGGGTTATGTAACACAAGTCTTTTTTTCCCCAGCTTAGTTATTTGTTCCTATCTGTATTTGACTGTGCAAAGGAGACTATTGAACAATTTCATTCAAGGCATAGAATGTATTGTCCTCTAATATTAACAGGAAATTATATAAATGGGTTAGATAAGAGATCAACTCTAATATTACAAGAAATTCTGGCAGGCGTTTGTGAGCATAACACCCAGGAGTTCAGTTTGGTGTGGCTACAAGACTGGCCTCAGGCCTATGATTTTAGGATCAAATTACTGTTGAGCAGCCAATATCTGTCATTACCATGTTCTTTCATTTTCTTCTGAGTGTCAGTTTTAAATGGGAGACTCTTCAATCTCTCTACAGTAAGAAACAGTTCAAAAGTTAGAACAACCAGAATTGTGTCAGGGACAGAAAGCGGCACACCAGCCAGGAATTTCAGAGAGGACCTCAGTTTTCCAGTTCAAGCCTAGCAAAAGGTACCAGGAGCTTGTTTGAGCAGACTCTTGTAACTACAGCCCAGCTACAATAGTACAGCTTATTTATGTAGAGATATGACAGCTCTGGAACTTCCTTTTTCTGTTGTTGCCAGTGTTTTGGATTTGTTTGTTCTTTTTCTCTACTATAAATTCACTAGTCACTGCATTACAGCGTAGCTTTGTCACAGTACTCCTGAGCTGGAAGGAGCAGATGGAAAAGTTGAAGCTACAGAGGGCACAAGAACCTAGATGCTGATCCAGCTGGCAGAATTAACCTCATTTTGATTTTGCTCCACTGAGGTTTAGAATGTAGGTGGCATTTTAGACTCGGCTTTCATCTATAGCCAAGGAGACATCATGAATGAGTAGTTTTAAGAATGCTTTTTGAACCTGAATGAAGACTGGCTTGCCTGAATTATCCTCACTATAGGGGAAGAAAAGCTTAGCAGCAATGCTACTTCAGAATTTTGTTCAGGGAACAGATGCACCAGCACCTCTGACTGTTAACAGAGCAAAACCAGAGGTTTCCCCTTGACCACAGAAGTGTGATTTAAGTCATATATGATGGATTATGAAAACATCACTAGGAGTAAAAGGGAAAGGTTAATATGAGTTATTAAATAGGCATTTCTGTTTCACAGGAAAAAAAAATAGTAAGGGCATTCATTTGGTTTGCGAAGAAAAGTGAAATGACTTCATAAGTTTTCTTAACAGTAGAAGCATTGATAAAACCAATCTCATGCCTTAAAGCTTTTGTCAACAAACTTTTTTCCTGCAGAACTTCAAACTGCATTTTTGTTATTTCAGTTTCTGTCTATACTGCCCCTTTTCTATTGCATTTTTCTTGCTTTTCAAGAATGGAGAAGTCAGGTACTGAAAAGTAAATTCCTATTACTTATCAAGGAAAATCTCTGCCCAGCTGATAGAGACTTTCAACAGTCCATGCCAGTAACCATATTTAATATCAGCTTTAAATGTGCACTGTAGTAGTGCAGCACCCTCTAACTTTGGCAATATGGTTCATTTGCCATAACCTTACCCCCTCACCACTGACCATCTCTTCATGCCATGCCAGCTCTGACACACTGTTCCTGTGCATTGCAGCGTGTTCTCCATGACAGCATGAGAAAGGAGCAGAGATATTTCCAGAGTGCAGAAATGCCAGAAAAATAAAAGGGAGCTGCTCTGGACTCAAACTAATTAGCAAGGGCTAATTCCTGCTGAAGGCAAGTGGGAATCTGTGGTCTAAGTAAGTTTGTGGATTGAGACCAGAACTACTCCCCTACAGCCCTAGTAGAGAAGGAAGGAAAAAACAATGTTTACCTCTCTTTAAGGTAATGTAGGTGTTAACATAAAATATATAACTCCTCCCCACATGCACAAAAGACCCATCTGCCCCAGACCAGTAAATGTGTGAACTGATGGGGAAAGAAAGTAAGAGTTAATAGAGAAATATCTTTTTTAAAAAATGCCACTAGGGAGAGGACTCAGGGACTGTGCTTTTGCATAACCTAAAAGCATCAGGAAGTCAACCTTGGATCCTTTGTAGAGAGGGAAGACAGCCTACCACACCTGCCACAAGTGGTGTCCAGACTGATGCTGCAGTACCCCTAAAAAGTAGAAAAATCTTCACACTGAAAAGGGCCAGGTCACACAGGTGGTAGTTTTGGCAAAAATAATAAATTTTAATTGATTTCCCAAGTGCTGCATGAGCATTAGGTAGGGTCCTACTATTGACTCACTCCTGTGAATTCAGCTGAAACTGGAGTCAGCCAGTTGTCAGAGCCAGCAGGAACATCAGCTTCTCTTATTAACTTCTCTAAAAGAGATTGACATGAAGAATTTTGAAGTCAGGTCAGATGTATTTTTGTGCTTTAACCCAATTTTGAGGCCCACCATAGTGTTTAGTAATTAAGCAACACATTAATGTAGTTTTGGGGTAAGAAAACAAGGGTAAAGCAGTAGACATCCAGCAGATCATGTCTAAAGCCACTAAAGTCTTCTGAAGAAATTGTTCTGCTTTCAATGTGGGCAAGTTGTAATAACATTACAGAGTTGATTCCCTGGTCAGAGCCTGGGTGATATGGAGCCACCATCTCATCACCCCATCACAGGCCAGTCCCTCCAGCTCCAGACCTCTCCTCAGAAATCACAGGATCCTTCCAGTTGTCAAAATCTTCCCAGGGCAGAATTGCCTCTTTGGCTTGGCTCTGAGTCCCTATTTGAGCCAAACCACTTCATGATTTGGCCAGTTTATTTTGCCAACTTCCCTGACAGATGCAGGAGCAAGACAAACAGGGAAAAGAGGTGCTGGATGTTCCTCTCATTGCTTCACAGAACTCAAGCAGGGGAGACACATCAACTGTTGCTGTTTCCCCACAAGCCAGGGAAGGAAGCTGTTTCCAGACACACTAAGTCAGTGTGTCTAGAACTGTGCTTTGATCACTTCCAGTGCAGCAGAGCCCACGGGGGAAGGCACAGAGGGAAAGCTGCAAACTGACAGTCACCATGTCTCAGAGGTACTCAGCCATCACCTAGGCTGAGAGAACTTATCCTTCCCTTAGAAGAGGACAACATTGCAGTCACAAAAGACAACTTCTTTACATCTGCACAACAGAGAATCCCCTATCCTCCTTTTTTTAACCTTGTTTGGCTCAAGAGGAGATGTCCAAGCAGGTCAGCAAGATGAACAGAGTCAGGTTCAGCCTCTGCTCCAGATCCCACAGATAACTCACTCAATGTTTCAGGCTTTCATAAGCATTTGGAGTTTTTTTGTTCTCGATTCATTCAAGATGCTTTCAGCTGCCTTTTTTTTTTTTTTTGTAGTATACAGTGCACACACAGAATACTTTAACATTCACTTCAGTTTCAGGAGGTGGAGCTAACAGACACTTCTGGAAGCAGTGGCCTTGGTCACACTTCAGTTTCCTATTCTATGTGTATATTTTATAAATACAAATATATTTGCCTACCTGAGAAACAGCAAAAAAAAAATGAAAGTTATTTATACAGTTATTTCTCTTCAAAGAGAAAAGGATGAATAACTAATTCAAAAATAATTTTAAGTACAGGAATAATTTGGAATCCACCATGGCCTTCAAATCAAAATTGCTTATTAGATTTTCTTGCAGGTATATTCTTATCATCTAGAGATATTATCCATTATAAGACTTACTTCTCTTCAAGACACAGCACAAGATTTGTCAAGAATTATAGCAGGGACAAAGAAGAAGTGGGTCTGGCCTCTAGCTGCACTAGACCCTAATCAATTGGTTTCAATTAAAATAAACCCAAATTCACAGTAGTATAAGAGCTTTGTTATGTTTTCACCTTGTTGCCTTTGCCAACAAATTATTTTGAGCAAATAATTCTCTTCAAAAAGAAATTAATTTATTTAAAGACTACCAGAGAAAGAGTATTTCCTCAAAGCACTTCATTAGACAGCACAACTGTTTCCTGCAGCAGAACTGCACACAGAGAACATGATCTACCAAGACCATAAGGCTAACACAAAACTTGACAGCTACACTGCAAAGCTAAAAGCAACGTACAACAGAAGCTCTAAAGCTTCTTGCTAAGCTCATGCAAACAAATAGAGAAAAGGAACTTACATAATTCAGATCTTCTGTCACAACAAACAGTGGCCACCTCCTCCACAACTGCTACTTGACTCCAAATCCCTCAGGATTTGGCAGAGCCACACTTGTTCTGCCCCTTTTGTCCCAAAACCGCTTCCAGTGCAGTTTGGTTTCCTCTAGCTGTTTGTCAATCAGTGGAAGCTAACAAGTTCAGGCATACCAATCAAGTGCTTAATTAAAGCCAGGTGTACTAAAAGAGCCAAGCTAATGGAATTAATGCAGCTCATTAGGCTGGGAATGCTCTGGTAACTTTTGAAACTTGTTATGCCTACGCTCCAATTCAGTAAAGCATTGAATCCTTGCAGCCCTAATATAGCCACAGTGATCTGTGCTGATTTTTCTGGCTGGTTCTGAGAAGCAGCCTCACATACTGTGTGTTTTAAGAGTCTAATGTCACAAAGACCTGGACAACTATGGTGAGATATGTATTGAAGGAAATGTCCTCATTTTACTGTTGCAGAAACAGCACTGCCTTTGGTGTCTGATTCCAGCTGTGTTCGAGGCAGGACATGCATACAGTGAAATAAAACTGGAACCTTCTCTTTCTTTGCTTTCCTCAATCCTTAGCATTACTTCTAGACTGAGACAATATACATTCCACCTCATTTTTGCTGCCAAAAAGTTGCTACCTGGTCATGCTGATCTACTTCTGGCGCCCAGGTCTGGCTTTGCTTCAACAGCTGAGACTAACTACAGCTAGTTCCTGCAGGCAGCTAAATATGGATGTCATATGACTCATATAAAATAATTGAAAATATAATAAATCTGTCTGAGCACAGTGGACTTTCCACACCACTACACTGTCTGAATGACCTGTCCTGTACCTCCTCACAGCAGGTCAGTAGAACAATAGTGTCCTTTCCCCGCTGGTCCTTGATGGCCTGCCAGTTCTGGAGACACTACTTTCTGGTGGTCAGATTTCTCCACTGACACCAGTGCTGATGCACAGCAACCAGTGTGTCTGCTGGGGTTTCTTCAGGTTTACACCAGCACAATGGAGTTTAAGATGCCAAAGCATGCCAATGCCCAAAATGAGCCTTTGCAAGACTTTCTGAGGTGTCACCATCTGATCTATGATCGGAGCAGGTTAGAGCGTCCATTGGGATGGGCATTGCTGCCTTTGCACTGACCATTGTTTCCTCACTGTATATAAATAGACACTACTCCTCATTATTATATGTGAGCAGCCCATGCAAGTATGGTAAGTTCTGGGGGTGAGTGTGTATGTGTGTGTGTATGTATGTATGTATGTAGTATTTTTTACACTGGAGGTATTTTTTAATTTGATTTGATTTGGAATAGTAGGATTTGTCCAAAACTCTGTGCTAGACCTTTGGAAAAAAACCACTTAATTCTAAAAAAATATTCTTGTTTTCTTGCTAGAAATTCTTGCTTCTTTTTTGCTTGATCCTTCTCTTCTCGAGAACTCTGTGTGTTCCTGCTCGCTGCTACCTGAGACCAGCCAGAAAATATGGTAAGAATGGCAAATATATTAGACATCCCTGAAATATTAATCCAGAGATTCAAAGGATTTTTTCTTAGAAATGTTGGAATAGCATAAAACACTTTTTGCTGAGGAGTGATCCAAACAGCTTCTTATTCAGGAACCAGCCCACCCAGAGGCATCTCTGGACTGAGAGATTCAGTAATTGAACTCTGGGCTGATGCATGACTGAACTACATGCCTGTGTGGCAAAAACACATGTACTTTTAAGTGGCATTGATTAATCTGAAGGGGACACCTGACACTAAAATAAAAGCAAAGACAACACAGCTGCTGTTTAAATTTGGTTTAGTAGTGCAAGTTGAAGTAGAATAAGAATTGGGGAGGAGGAAGGAATGAGAAAATAAAATCAGAACCTGTGTGTTGAATGTAAGAAAGAGCAGAAATATCCTGCTGTAGCCATAGGCTAAGGTGTTTCTCAGATTCATTACAATAGCAGAACAATACAGATCTGCTATGTGATTGCAGTGTTTCATCATGCTGTGTCATACGTCATGCACGCTGCAGGAGCAAAGACAAGGGATCTTTTCAGCAAAGCACAGGGTTAGGCTCTTCCCTGGTGTGACTCTACAGAAATCACTGCTTTGATTACTATTCCACAAACATAAGACCGTGGTCTATGTCTGTTGATTTACTGACTATTATTTTCTGGTGTGTACATTCAGGGTGCCTTTCAGACAGAAACCTCTATGTTTTTGGTGCGGTGTGGAAGAATGAAGACTGTTTCCAGTGCAGGTGTAAGATGGGTGCAATGACTTGCTGCAGCTTGTAAGTTTACCCTAATAATTATTGTATGTTTATTTAGAAACTGATAGAAATATTCAGACTTAAAAAAACTCATTGAAACATGCACTGGAATGTCATACTCACGAGAAAAAAAACTCCTTTTCCTGTTTCCCAGTTAGCTCTAATCATGACCAACAGAATAATTGGTCAATCACACAGACTTTTGGGGGAAGAAACAATGAAACACAGGGTTTTCCCAGCACACAGCTCTTCCTCTTCACCTAGACCTTCTTTTGATTCAGCCACTAACTGGGTGTGTGGTTCCCTTTAGCCTCTGTTTTCTATCCACTAACTTGTCTCCAGATACCTAAACACCCCACAACACATGAACCTGTGGGTTTCTGTAGCTCTGCACCAAACCACTGCCCTGCCTGCAAGCATCTATTCAGATATTCTAACTTCCCTGCCATGCTGCCAAGAGCCCACATTTCCTCCTTATCAAAACAGGACATACATGCTGATAATTTGCTTTCTTGTGTGTTTCTGCCTCATGGATGGCAGTGACTCATCAAGGAGAGCTGTGTCTTCCTGAACAGTGATGTGAACTGACTATCTTCCTGGAAAACTAGAAAAATCCTTCTTGTAAGGGCAGGGAGAAAGAGTCCCTAAATGATCTGTGAGGAAGACTACAATTCAAGGAACTTTCAGAGGGAAATATTCCCAGCTTTTCTCAGCCATAAGAGGGAGGGAGTTGGCCTGTGCTGAGAAGAGGCCCAGCTGGGAGTTATCTATGCTGAGATGATTCAGCACTCTTTAAATTGTTATTATCAAGAAAGTTTTAGTTTGAATGGGGAAGATAGAATTCATATTTTGCCTTTGTGTGGGAATTTATACTAATCTCTAACAGAATGACCAGTGAGAACTGCATTTGAACAAGAACAAGCATTGGGAAATCACTTCATCTGTAAACAGATACAAGCAGGGCTCTGTATTCCTCCTATGCTAACCCATAGTACTTGTTATGTACATCCATGGGCCAAGTCAATCCATGGCTGCTCCAGGATGGCTGTAGCTCAGTAAGTATCCTCCTCAGACCATTCCTCAGCTGCTGATTTTCTCTTTGCCTTTCTCAATGACAGGGTTTTAATCCCCAAGAAGTATGACAGAGTGAACTGTGTTGGCCTATTCCACAAGAAAAGCTGTTCCATCCGAGTGGTGAAGAAGACTAATCCTGAGATAAGTTGCAAAGTCTACAATGGAGTTGGATAAGACCACATGATGTATTTCTCCTCTTTCACACCTACCCCAGATGCTGAATATGTTCTGGATCTCTCCTTTAGAGGAAAGCAGCAAACAGCATGGCTTCAAGAGAAATGAATTTGCCTCATGCCTTTCACAGCTCTAATTGTGCCATATCTATCTTGTTTCTGACATTTGGTGGTTTATCTTACACACATTTGTAACCAAACTTTACCATGGGCTTTTTTCCTGTTGGGATTCAGAGTTAAATACATTTTCACATACATCAAATCACTGTAGTCACTGACTGGTCTCCTTGAAAACAGAAGAATTCACGGTGTGTATAAATGTTTGTAAATCTAATTATTGATTTGGAAATCATCTAACTTTTAAAGTAACAGCTATAATATAAATTGTTGCCAGACACAGGGATTCATTATGCTATTACACTTATTGACATTCCCCCAATGACACGTGTACTAGAAGATGAAACAAACCAGAAAAACAGCCCCTTGAAAGCCTCCCCTCACCTTGGTGCCTTGTGTAGGTCAATCCATTAATGCAGATGCACAAGGGAACATATTCTCCAGGAGATGACTGGTACATTACAAAAATGGTAATCCCATGCCTGAGAGTCCAACCTACAGCAAAGAAATGCCATATAAATAGCTCTGTAGCCTTCCATACCAGGGTAGAATTTCCTGTAATAATCTTGTTTGGATCAAAGTCTACTGACAAACAACCCCATGAAAGCTGTTTTTATAGGAAACCTAGACTATAAATCATGCTTAGCTTGTAGACTTTAGGCATTACACTGTGCCTGGTACAAAGTCCATAAAAGTAGTTAATATGAGAAATATCCTATAAAATCTATTTATACAATATTAAGAGCAATTATAAAACGAGTGTTGTACAGCTTAAAAGGCCCAGATAAATAATTTGAGTGTGTTCAGTTTATTCAACACTGACATAATAGCTCTTTTCTTCATCTGCCTTTCATCTACCTTCCTGAAGTGTATTACAATTAAACATTTCATCTGATGCAAATAACAACTTCTTTCAATATCTGTTGTGGAAAACCACACTTACATGGTTTATTTAAAGTGTGGTGCTGGGAACATACAAGAAGAGAACCTGCACATAATAAGGAAAACAGCTTACCAATTATCAAAAAAACCCCACCTATGGCAGTCAATAAGGTGATTCCAGAAAGCAGGTAAAATGAGAAAAACAATTTATCTTTTTTAATCTTTGGGCCTCAGGGTCAGTTAGAACTAGTAACAGCTCCCTTTGATGATATTCCCCCTGTGCCTTCTTGGGACCAATGCCATGGACATCCCTGCATCTGGCTATGACCCAACCAGTCTGGGATCATCACCATCAGAGGGGCCCTCACTTCTCTACTTGAGGAGGATGAATCAGAGGATTTTATCCAGTTATATATAAATATATACATATATATTTTTGTGGATATATATATACCTATGGAGGAAGATGTAGATACAGATATAAATAGAAGGGGTCATGCTATCAACTTCCTAATGTTAGATTCATTTACAAGAGCTTGTCTAGGGACCCCTGAGTAACAGGCCTACTTTTCTGGACATCATTTAAGCAGCTCAGGAAAAACTCCTGTGAAGATACATCAGTTTCATAGCTCTCCCCATGGTATGAATGTTATGGACAAATTAAGGATGGCTGATAATGGTTGAAATGGCAATTCTGCTTCAGAAAGAGCTAGAGATTCTTACAAAATGCAGCCAAAACAAACTTCTGTGAAATGTCTACAAGGATGCCATGTAGCCCTGATAAACTTAGCATACACATGGTCTGTGTTCTGTTCCATGGTACATTTTCTCCACATGCTTTTGTCATCAAGTGCCTAGTACTATTCTTTGTGGATATTGTTTGCTCACTGTTTAGCAGTGCCAGAGAGAGCAGGGCTCCAGATGCTGGAGCACAATTAGATTTGCTAAATGTACTGTAGCAGAACTGGTCTCTGAAATTTCATGCTCAGAGGAAAGAAGGAGACAGAGTATCAGGGCTTCATTAAGGAAGGCTGATATGGCTGAAGATCTGACACAAGAATGCTGGAGGAGACCCTCAAAGCATTCAGAGTGCAGCTGTAATCCCACTGCTGTGACAATCCTGTCACTGCAGGGAAATGCTAAATTGCCACCCAATGAATGTTGGTTGGTAGAGGCCTTGCTGTCACCATAACTACTTGCAGGAAGGAGTTATTTGGCCAGAGCACAGAGGGCTATTCCTTCAGGCACCTGTGCCCCCTTGAAATGTGTTGTCTCCATGGAGTGCAACTGTTATTGTAACCAGCTGCAGAGCAAGCAGGACAGTTCCCCAGTGCCTTCTCATAACAGGAGCGTGTGCTGTGTGTGGAGAATGGGAGCAAGACTTCTTATTGCTCTCTGGGAGCTAGGACAACCCCATGCCATGCCAGCTACTGCTTCTTTACCACGTCTCCTGTCAACAGCAAATGGGACTGGTCCATTGACAGCATGGGAAGTGAACCATGGCCAGATACAAACCAGCCAGCTCAAATACCAGAACCCCTTTTAGCAAGGTGTGAACCCAGACCCACCTGAGGAAATTTGCATCAGCATCTTTTTCTTGCTGCTGCTGTTCTCAGTCCAGGGTGGCTGCAGCTCTGTCCCCTCTACACTACAGTCTGGACAGCTGCTGCTTGGCAGCTCCAGCCCCATGCTGCTGATGCAGGTAAGTCCCAGCTCCACGAATGTCTGCAGGGTTGGAATGACCCAAGTGCTGCTCCCACATCAGATTGTTAATAGTGAGCATTTTAACCCTGCAGTTTGGACACGATGCAGAAAGGACATGTGTGTAACAGGACTCTAATGCAGGCCCATTCACCTCACCAAAATGGCCAGAACCTTGCTGGAGAAGTTCATCCTAAAAATCTGTCAAGTCCCAGGTGACATAGCAAGATCCTGGTGGCTAAGTCATTTCCTGATCCCTGGGCATCAGATCCCTGAGCAGTGTTTCAGGAACAGTGACACAGCTGCTCTCTACTGACTTTAGGAAGAGAGCAGAGGTTTATTTGCTGGTTTGCAAGCTCTCCCAAATGTCTGAATTGAGACATGATAAAAGTGGAGCAATGTATCTTTAAATGTTTGGAAGAGTGTGGAGGCAAGCCTGGCTAAGGAATGCTACAGCTGAGGGGAACAGAAGAACAGCTTCACAAATACAAATATCCCTCAGGAAAAGGCCTGCTGTTTCCTAATGGTTTTCCTCCCCTTTCTTTAATGCTTTGAACAGCAGTACAAATAAACATATGATAAATAAATTAGGGAAGAAACAGAAGTGTACAGGCCAGCCAAATAAATAATTTCAGCTTCTCTGTCTCCAGCAAGATAGGAAGAATCTTCTACTTCCTGCAAAGCTGGCCAGAAGCTCAAGATCTGTGTGGGCTAATGCTTTCTCATCCTGAGCATAGCCTGCATGTCCTTCTCCATCACCAGATCGGGAAGCTCATCTCCTTCAGAGGTGACTGGGTGAAGGGGAAATGTTGAGATATGGGGTGCTGGTTCAAGCTAGTTGATAATAAAGCCTCTGAAAAGGAGGCTGGAAAAAAAAACCAAAAAAACATAATAATGAGCAGCTCAAGCAACCCCTGATTTAAAAATCATTAACTGTGGACAACTGTCCAACTTACACAGTTCATGATATATATTTCAGTTCTAGGCTTCTCTGTACTGTAAGACATAAGAAATGCCAAAATACCCTATATCCCTACTTGTGCTTTGATTATTTCTCTAATGTTGAAAGATGTCTGCTAAGTTCTTGAAGTAGATGATAATATCTGTAATAGCTGTTACCAGAAAAATATTAAAGAAAAAGTACAGTATAAATGAAAAACTGTTTTCACTGTTAGTTTCATATGAGCTTGCACTTATTCTGAAATTGGAACATTTGATTTCTGTTAACATACTACGTGCCTACAAACAAAAATACCTATTTGCTACAACTGATTATCTCAACTTTAGAAAGGCTCCAGAGCACCATTAGCCACTGGACTAATTACATAGCTGACCATAACTTGAGACCATTTTTATATAAAGACCAAAATTAGTTTATTTTGGTATAGCTGTAGGAAATATTCTGTTTGTGTGTTTTCCCAATGCAAGAGAAAAATTTGCAAGTCTGATTTCTATCTTGGTTTTTGATGAGAAAGACCTGGGGAAAAAAATCACAGAAATCTGGCATTTCTGCAAATCCCTTTCCCCCCTTTATTTCCACCTTTCTCAGTACTCTTTCATTTCTGAGTTCTTTTCCTATCAGTGTGCCTCTTCCCTTTTCATAATCTAAGGACTTGTAGTGCACTCTTCTAAAAGAAAATTTAAACATCTGTCTGTGATGGAATGGAAAATCTGAGAAAATGGGCACTGGCCTCTTAAGTATCAGGCAAAATCCTCTTTGGAGCCCTACAGAAATCTTGCCTCAGCAAGGAGAACAGGATTAGCTCTAGGTCTGTATTTTGTCTCTTTGTTTTCACTTGAGATCACACTTATGTGGAGAAGGGGGGCATCAGATACTTCACAGCTCTTTTCTGAAGTTTTATTCCTCCCAAGTATCCCTAGAATTTGTATATTTATACAACAGCAGAGGGAGCCAGAACTTCAAAGTCAGACCATAATCATAAAGCAGAATTCATTGGCTAAATTGAAGGGAGGGAAGGACAGAGGGCGGGAGAGAGAGGGGGAGAGGGAGAGAGATGCCATCCAAATTACCTACAGAAACAGCCAGCAGAGCTTCTTTCCCACATTGCTAAGGCACAGAAGATCTTACTTCACTCCTACAACATTTCTGCTTTCTTCCAGAACAGAAATGTGCACCAACAGCACTGATTCTCTCCATCAGTAACTGGTAAGAATTTTCTAAATTATCTATTTCTGATTGTCAAGAGCTCACATCTCTTTATTAAACTTATCACCTGTTATTGTTGAAAAAGCAGATGACTATGATAAATCAAGACTATTTGACTTGTCATGAAAGGCCCAACCCTTGTATCTACTGAGCAAAGCTTTGCAAAAGGCTCTTGCCTTTTGGGGTGCAAGAGGGAGATGGCAGCTTCTTGGGGGGCTCTGCAGTTCACTGTCTCCCTGCCACCCTGTGGTGTGACAGGAAGAACCTTCCTGGGTGCCTCTGGTTGCTGGAAAACCCTTCTTATCTCTTAGTCTCTGAGATTTCTTGGTCCTCACACAAATAATTAGCTTCAGACAGGACACAGCACATCACTCTCCAGATATCCTGACTGTCTGCTAAGGTGCCATTCCAATATTTTATAGATTCACCGCTTCCTTTGGTGAAGATCACCTTTGTAAAAATGTATTTCTTTTTCTCTTGGGTAGCAAACACATCACTAAGGCCACTGCTCTTAAGAAATCAGGGACTAACTACCAATCTCCAGTAAGAACAGTAAATCTGCTGATTTGCTGTTCACATTTTACTTTTGTGGCTCCATGTCTTTGTCAAGGTTGTTATAAATTTAATCAGAAAATAAAAAACTGGAGTAAAACTTTTGTAAAAAAAAAAAAAGCTTTTGTAAAACTTCCCTTCTTTCTACAGGATCAGAGAAGATTAACTCATAACAGAATTTCATAAGCTCCTAAAGGTTTCCCTCTGAAAACATGCAGATGTGAGGGAGGGAAAAGGATTCACTTTCTTGGCTATTTATACCACCCCTTATGTTATAGACTTGTAACATGTTAATGTACACAAGTTTTTCTATCCCCTAATTATACAGGTTCTAGACATTTTTATATTATATGGATTTTTCAATGACCCAAGAGAGTTTCTCCCAATATTTTTGCATTACTGAAATAATGGCATTGGCAGCCAAAAGGGGGTACGACTGTCAGTCAGTTTGTACTACCTCAATTAATATCTGGAATATGAATTCTGGCATTCTGTTGAACATTTCCATTGCTCCTTTTTTTTTTTTTCCTACCAGACAGCAGGCAGCTTTACTCCCAGCAATTGCTGTAACCCTTTAAATAAGTGATACAATCACCTCATCTTTTTTAGGAATTGCTTCTTTCAGAATGTCTTATGGACTGAAAGCAACAGATGTTTGAGCAACTAGTTAGGCTCTGAGGTAAATAATCAAGTAAGTACCAGATAATGAAGCCAGACACTGCAAACATGTTTTTTCTTTGACTAATGTCTGATGTGGAAATTGGCTTTCACTGTCCATCAAACTATGGAGGCTGTTACTTGATTACAGGCAGTGGATAATCATGATCAGCTTTGCAAAAATGACCCGCTCTTTTCCAGTGGGCACATAGAGCCCAGCATCTGCAGCAGGAAAGAAGTTTTTATAGGGGTTTTCACAGGATGTCTTTGTGTCCAGAGGTCTCTCAAAAGAGCAGTCATGCTTTAACTGCTCTAAGCCACTTATGGTCTAGGAGTCTCCTTGAAACCCACTGAGGGTTATATTTTCTTCCCTGACTCATTTCTGCAGAATTCCCTTTCCTTTGAGGATTTTTTCTGGGAAATATAGGATAATGCCCTGAGGGCAAGACTGTTGAGCTGACAAATAATAATTTGGTTTATTGTTTTTGAGACAGGCTGAGTGACATTTGCTAGTTTAGAAGGCTGTGCTGTTCACCAAGACAAACCCTTCAAACTTTGCCTGCTCTTCTTCCTTGCTTCCAACACAAACAGAAGAGTGATAAATGTCTACAAAAGATGCATGTGGGGAATTTAACTTGCACTAAGATTAAATCTGAAGACTCATTCTCTTCTTCCTTCTGTATCCTGTTAATTTGCTGCAGATTTTTGTGACACTTGCTTTTTAGAGAAGCTCTCTCATGCTGCATTAACTGGAGAAGAAACTCTCATGAACACCTTAGTTTTTGTTACTGAACTCTTTCCCAATAATTGTGAAGAGTTCTGAACAGGATTCCTCTTTCTTCTTTAAAAACAAATGAGCAAAAAATAAGCAAAAATCTTTCCCCCGCTCTCCCTCAGCAAACTGATTTAGGAGAGATACTTACTCCTACAAGCCAAGTAAATATTGCTTCACTTTCTGGAGAAAAAAAGCTGTTTTTTCTTAGACCATAATCTCATTGCTATGTTTTCCATGATTATTAACAAACCTTCAATACAATGAGGGGACTAACAGCCTTGTTCCCACTGCACTGGTGACTTGAGCTGTATTAGCTCACCTTTGATTCAAATGTCTAAACAGAACGTGCACACATTGCTTTTTACTGGCTCTTGGTTTAGAATAAACTGAATGGCAGCCAAGCACCTTGAAAGTCAAACACATCATTTGGCTGCAACTATCCTTGAGGATCCACCACCCAAGGATACCATAATAGGATGCATAAGTGTAAGGTCACTGCAATATTTATTTCTCTGTTTTTCTGGGGCTGCTTTTTGCATTAGGGAACAAGAGTTAGAGAGCACTACAGACACAGGTGATCAGTGCATTGACTTTTCCCAAGACATCAGGTTGGCAGGTGGTTAAAAGCATCTCATTGTGCATCACAGGTTCCCTTGAGATGCCAGACAAGTCATGTCCTGTCTCCCTCTCACAATTCCCTTATCTGTGGGTGATAATTCCATATTTACCTCTGGGCAGTACCGTCAGGACGTGCCTGCAGTCACCTGGTGGGGGACACCACAGAATGCAAGGTGTTAAAAGAGAGGGAGCTCCTAACCCAACAACACACACTGAGAGCCTCCAGAGATGCTCTTTATCTCCACAATTACCATCAGTGACAAACACACAGCCATGCTCAGTCTTTGGTATTTCTCTGGGAAATGTGCTCCATAAACCTGTGGCTTCTGCTTTCCAGGTGGCTCCACCACTTTCCTTTTTTATTTACTTCAGCATTAGTAGTTCTCACTGATGCTTCAGCATGTCCAAAAGTGTCTGGGACCCTTGAGAGGGCTTACTCTGTGGACACAGATGTTTGTAATAACTTCACATATTTTCATATTTTTCAAGCAACAAAAGAGAACCATGTGTTTGTTGTTGAGGATACTGTAGCTAAGGACATGAGGCTGGGACCGTAGTAAAAAGCTCATGTGTTTTGTTTACAGCAAAATCTATTTGTCCTGTCCAAATGCCAGGACTTATCTCTTCTGACTGGTACAAAATAATATTGCAAGCTGCCAATCCCTTTGCTCTGTTTCACTTGCAGCATCTCCACTGGCCAGCAACCATTAAAAACTCTGGGGCTGGATGAAGGTTTTCCATTCTATATCCATTTTCACACTGAAACAGACCACCATACCCTCCCCATACATGAATATGGAATCCATACATCACCATTGCCTCTTGTTATTCTTCCAGAAAATGTGGCAATCTGTTGGCATGGATTGATCAACAACACAAAAATGAGTGGACGGGTGTCATGCCTATATTCTCAATTTGGAAAATTTTCTTTGCCCCTCTTTAATATTTAAACTATTTAAACTACTGAGGAAATGAAAGACTATATTTGGATAGATGACAGAAAGATAAAGAGAGATACAGTTAGATATATCAACAGGTCTAGCAAAATAACAAAAGAATTTACTGAACTCATTTATTTTTGCTGATCAAGCAGAACTGTGATCCCAAAGCATCCTTTTATTTAATGCACACTATTGCTTTCTACAGCTCCTGACAGGCAACATCTCTAGAAACAATAAAATTCATAATGGGAAAAGCAAGGCACATAAAAAGATATAGGATAGTGGGTGGTTTTTTTGTACAGTACTTGTTATCTTTAGGCATGCAGTTGTTCAGCAAGGAATTCTGCTCTATTGAAGTGATAAGCTCACTCTACCATGTTATTTATGTATTCATATCTTGATCAGTTGGTTTTTCCTGAATCTCAGATATTTTTCACCACCTCACAAACTTGTTTGAGTGATATTTAATCACTGAGGAGAGGGTCATGCAGTGGTTAAATAGTGTCATTCCCCGAGTATTTATTTACTTTTCATACTACAAGCCTTTGTACAGCATGGAACTGCCTCTGGCCTGATGAGAACTCCCAGCAGAGTCAGATTTCTTTTTCTTTGATTCCTGGACACAGAGGATTTGGACTTGAGGGTCAGGATTATAAAGTAGCCTTTGCTATGGCTCACAGGAGTCATCTGGAAGAGTCGAGGCAGTCCTGTGACTGAGATTTCCAAAAGTATGCAGCACCAATTAACTCCATGGGTTCAGCTCCCTGAATCCCACTGAAAGTCCCAGCTCATGGCTTGCAGCAGGGATTATGAAGCAGACCTATCTGTCTGTGCAGGAACACTATCTGGCAGACAGAACATGCTTTTACAACAAACTTGTAAAAAAAAAAAGCAAAATTATGCTGAGGGAGAATTAATAAAAATCTTCCCAGAAGGAATTAAAAGACACTATCAAAACCACTCACTCTTAAAGCCAAAATCAGGCAACTGGACTGTATTTCTGATAAACCCTGTCATGGTCAGGTTAGGGGAGATATCAATGCTTCGTAGGCACTAGAGTTCATTCAGAATGAGGAATCAACAAATTTGGACTGCAGTTCCCATGACCTATCACAGCTGTGTAGAAACTGGAAAATGTTGAAATTATTTTGAAATATTTTAGACTTTTTTAAAATTTTCCCATGATATCTCTCCAGAGGATGAGCCTGAATTTTTGCATGGTGATTGTCTCGCACAAATGTGAGTTCTGGCTGCAATTACAAATGCATTTAACAGAAGATATTTCAATGTTGGCTTTGTGCATCTAATATGTCCTGCTTTTCACATTGATATTTAGCTCAGCTAAAGGTAAATGTGGCCTCACAATGTCCTCTGCCCAGTTTTGGATCAGAACCTTGCAAAACCAGAATTGCACACAATTTTTACCCTGGGTGGGTTTTGATTCAGTTTGCTTGTATCACCACTCTACTGCATTAGTGATGTTCAAGATACTGCACTGAGTGAAATAAATAAGTTAAGATGTTCTTAAATCCATGGGACAACCTCATGATGAATAAACATGGTCATAATTCAATAGAGTTGCACAGACTTTCATACCACACTGTAGCAAAGCGCTCCATTTTATGATCTAATAAACTATGTAAGAGGGAGCTGCAGAATATACACAGAATCCCTGGCATTTGCTTCCCTGTCTCCCTCCTTACCCTTTTGATTAATTTCTTGAAGCATAACTAAAAATATTTTTTATTTTCCTTTTTTTTTCAGATATACCCAGACCTTCCACAGCCAGACAGAACAGATATAACGCTTTTAGGCTGGCTCCAGAAGACTCAGACTGTGTTTGACTACCACCCTTTTGGATAAATATTTTGGGATCCAGGATGAATAAGACAAGGGCTGTTAATGACGTTTTTCATTTCCTGATCAGCAAGAACTGGAGCTCAAGCCGAAGCTTTCCTATGAACATTTCTAATCAGTGCATGAACATCACCGACCTTACTGTCTTTCTGGCTACCTCTTACAGCTTGGAGACTGTTCTGGGCATTGTGGGAAACATCTGTCTGATTGCTGTCATTGCCAGGCAGAAGGAAAAGGCCAATGTCACCAATATCCTAATTTCCAACTTAATAATTTCAGACTTGTTTATGTGTCTTGTCTGTCTGCCTTTCACCGTTGTTTACACCATGATGGACTACTGGATATTTGGAGAAGTCATGTGCAAAATGACCTCTTTCACTCAGTGCACAACTGTGACAGTGTCAATTCTTTCCCTAGTCCTTATTGCCCTGGAAAGACACCAGCTCATCATAAACCCAACTGGCTGGAGGCCAAATACCTCCCAAGCCTACCTAGGAATTGGAGTGATTTGGACTTTAGCGTGTCTCATGTCCCTACCCTTTTTGACCACATCCATCCTGTCCAATGAGCTGTATGAGCAGCTCTCACACTTCATGAATTTTTCCACTGATAAGGCAATATGTATCAACTCGTGGCCTTCAGAGCAGCACAAACTTATCTACACTACCACTTTACTGCTCCTGCAATATTGCATCCCTCTGTTCTTCATTATCCTTTGCTACCTGCGTATCTACTTACGCCTGCAGAAGAGGAAGGACATGTTTGAGAAGAGTGAGTACAGCAACCGAGCTGTCCAGCTGAGAAGGATAAACATGTTGTTAGCATCAATGGTTGCTGCTTTTGCTGTTTGCTGGCTACCACTGCATGTTTTCAACACCATCGTGGACTGGAATTACAAAATCATTTCGCCTTGCCACCACAACCTGATCTTTTCGTTGTGCCACCTGGTAGCTATGGCTTCCACCTGTGTCAACCCTGTTATCTATGGTTTCCTAAACAGCAACTTCAAAAAAGAAGTGAAGTCATTGATTCTGAGCTGCCAGCATAATTCAGTCACAGCCTCAATGGAAGAATATGATCATTTGCCTTTATCCACCATGCAGACTGAAATTTCCAAGGGGTCCCTGGTGTTGAACTGCAGGCACAATTCTATCTAACGAGCAGAAAACATTTCAGAAGGGTACACTGACACCACACACCAATTATTACCTGTGGGTGTATAAACCAACTGGTGATGCCAGAGCTGGGGTGTCAACAGAACCCCATGACTACCTGATTTTTGGAAGAACAAGCAAAGTAATGTTGTAAATGTTCACAGCTGCTGCTGTGGTGCACAAGCTTTTCGTGTCAGTGAGGTGGGACAGACACAGAAGACACTGGGCTGATGTATAAGCAGCTGCTCTAAGATCAGTAACACAGCTGTGGCTGCACAGAGGCTGACATGGGGTTCAGCAGTGAAACTCCTCTCTCTACCATGGCTGCAGTAGAAAACCAGATTGTTTCAGCACTGCCAGCTGCCAAAAGTTATGTTGGAGAAGACTCTCCGTTTTTCAGTATTAGTAAGATTTTTTGTGCACAGCTGACACACCAGTGGAACAGAAATACATAAATATAAATTTGTTTTTGCTTTACCACCTCTCACAGCCCATTAAGTAACAGTAATCTTTCAAATCTTCACATGAAACAACTGCGTATTTCTATGAAACTTCACTCTCTGCCATAGGCTTGAGAACAGTCATTGCCTTTGCAAGCAGAGACAAGAAACAAAGATCCTGGTATGTAAAGAAGATAGACACTTATGAGGGTTGGCAGCAAACAAAAATGTTACTTGATGGATTAAACTCAAAATACATTGAGATGATACTGAGAACTATTTTTAAGCACATGAGAAACAGTTGTAGATCTACATGGAAATGAATCAGTTCTCACTGCTGTCCATCACAAAGCTCTGCAATGCTGAAACTTCATGCCATGATGGCACAAGATGGCCAGATTACAGGAGTTGTTCCAGGACTTGGTAGCAACGTGACATTCTGCTTCGGCATCTTCTTGGTACTTTAATTGCAAAGTGTCTTATTCAGAAAGTCAGAATGACCATGAAAATATGTTTGTGGAATTCACGTGTTTCCAGAGTGGATACACTTCCAAAGAAATAAGCATATGAAAGAAGAATTTAAGTTTTCTTAAAAAATAAAACCCGATGTCAGATATCAGTCCTGCTCACTGGCATCAGCAACACAGGTGAAGCTGAAATTCCAACAAATCAATAGAAGGTCAATGAAAATACACAGGTGGCATCCAGGTCAGGCTGAAGCCAAGCCACATGTAAATAGGGAGTACTGTCAATTGCTCTAGTAAAATGAAGGTCATATTTTTTCACAGCTGTGTTATTTGTAGCCTTTGTTCATGAAACCTACAAACTATAAATTCATTTTAACCTCTGGAGCCAGAGAAATTGCTCAGTGACTACTGAGAAATCAAGGCATGCCCAAGAAGGACATATTGAGGGACAGTGATTTAAGAAACAAAACTAAACAAAACAGGTAGCAAGTGCATAAAGGAGACCAACTGGTTCAATGATAATGAAATGTTGAAGCATATTCTGTCCTGATTTGCTAAACTAACCTTAGCAGAAGACTGGACTAGGTAGTCAGCTGAGGTAATTCCCAGCATGAATTGCTCTATGATAAGCAATGGTTACTTGCTGCAGTCAGTAGGTTTGCATGGAGCTGAAGGTGTCCAGTGTAAGTTATGCAAACAACTAGCAATTCCTTAGCTGGCAGATCTCTGATTAGACAAATTGGTGTAAAGATATGTGAGGAAAAGACTTCCCATGCTGTGAACTGACAGGAATATGGATGCTGGGCAGAATATCTGAGGACAAGAGCTAAACCCTATGTTATAAGGCAGCAAGAGCTATCAGTAAGTATGGGATCATGCCCCCAGCTGGGAGAAATAGAAGTTAACACCTTGCCATGAGCTGGGTGCACAGATTTCAGTGGTAAAACTTGAAGATTGGCTTTCAATTCTTGTGGGCAGAATCTTACAGCAGAAGCTTTTTTTGATGCAGCCACCCCCGTAATTCTGGCCAGAACCTGTATATCTTAGTAAGAGACTTGGTGTGTGATTACCTTTTGTATCTTCCTCAACTATGTGGCAAGACATTTTTGCTTTTTTAAAATGGATTACATCTTTATTATTTTTTTTTTCCTCTGTTACTTGCTATGCTATGCTGAGAAGTTTCTCTTGATTACTTTGCATGCAATGTGATTTCTAGACTGGACATTGAGTCTACTAGAAACACAGAACAAGAGGACTCTTATTTCATCTTAGATGCATCTTGAATTTGCTACTGTAGCCAAAACCACTGTGGGATGCTGAGTAGCACAAAACACAGTAGCTTCTCCTAATCAGTGTGACTTATATCAAAACTGTGTTATATTACTTCAAGGCATAAATACTGTTTCAACTTTGTAATTGTTTTGGAGTTAGAATCAATTGAAGTAATTGAATAATTCTGCCTGTTTTTCACACTTGTTAGAATTCCAGCATTTAGCTGGTTAAGGTGTCTGTAAAGCTATCATAAGAATACTCTGCTAAACATGAACACAGAAGATTATCTGATACATGGTCTTAAGTATGTAACTTTTCAAGCAGCAGTGTCTTAAATGGAACCACAATTACCTTTAGCATTTGCACTTGCATGAACCTGACTTTGTCACTAGTTCTGGGTGAAAACATTTGGTGAAGCACTTACAGTGTATCAGAGACCTGCCACTAGACCTGTGCACTGGCATTGTGCATCAGATCCGAGTTCTTCCTGCAAAGGGTAGAGATATGAGCAAGATCTGACACTCTGTTTAACTGCAATTCACAAAATGTAATTTGTTTCCATGAACACAAGTAGATACATAAAGCAAGCAGATCCAGCTTTACACAAACACAGACAAACAAACAGATGTTATCTTCCTCTTGTGATTAAGCAAAGTGTCAAGTCTGGAGTCAACTACTGTTCATTGTTAACTGACTTTGGACTGCATAAACTACAGGATTTAAACACTAAAAGCCATCAAACTGCACCCATACATCTAACTGCAAAAATGCAGATCCTCAGAACTCCCAACCAGCTGCAGTCTATCCATCTACTTACCCTCCTGAGATACCTGTTTTTCAACCTCTAAAATTTCTGAAGTAACTAAATAAACTTTAAAGAAAACACAGAAAAATAAATATATCTAGGTACCAAAGGACTGAACATATAACAGAAAAGGTGCCTGTACCAATTCTTCACTCTGTGCATACACCAAGGTGTATGCTGCTGTGCACAAATGCAGCAGAGGATAGTAACCTGTCAGTTTTTAAGAACTTCTGTAGCAACTGTTCCCTGTTCCCTTAGGAAGCAAAGTACAAGGCTGGGTGGAATTATGCCTGCATAATTGAAAAAGCCATTTTATTTGTCACTTTGAGGCTTTATGCAGCCAAGGGAGGCTAGGTTTGTTTGGTCCCAGCAGAAGGTAACAAACAAAACCAGCTTACATACCTCTTATCCATCTGTAAATAACAGATCCTGTTAATGTGTAAGAAGCATTGAGCATTTTTGTGTTCATCATATACAGTGATGGTTTTGTGTAAACTCTTTAAAGTTCTGCTACTGAGTGACAAAGCAATGTTGGACAAATAGGCAGGAGTTGTGCAAATCATGAGTTTCTACAATTTTAAGACCTTACACTGCCTTTTTTAAAAATAGTTTTTCATAATCTTGCCTCTTGTGACACATTATAAGAGGACAGTAAGGTTTCAGAGCAAGAGAACAACTTATTTCTTGTGATATAAGTAACACACTGCAGGGAATCTTATAATAACAAATAAAGTAATACCGTCTGTGTCACTTCTCTGCCTGCTTTTGTAAAATGCTGTAATGCTCTTCATAGTAAAAAAATACATTAAATGTAGTCCTCAGCTAGCGTTTATCAAGAGAAAACAAGTGTATGGTGTGATAAGAGCCACTGAAATGTGAAAGGTTAATAATTTGACACATTATTTTGAAGGATGATGCAGTGCAGCCAACAATGGGAGACATGCAAGTACCAGAAATTCAACATGGAACACTGGAATATTCTGATACCAGAACTGATATCATCTTCACAGACTTTTCAGATTGCACAGGAAGCTGGGTCCTACGTGGCACTGAACCCTGACCAGAACCACGGCCAGAAAGATGAAAACCAATGTGGGGCATTTAACAAAATTTTACTGACCTTCAAAAAGTGCTTTGACTAGGTTAAAAGTACTGGCAATTTTTTCTGACCTGGCTTGAGATAAAGTAAACCAAGGTCCTAGAAACGAGTGCAGACTGTGCTGTAAGCAGGTTTGGTTTATTTCTCTTGCACACACAAGGGAAGAGTGCAATAGCAGCACGTGCCTGCCTGGACTGGAGGCGTGTGGCACAAACTGCTGCAGTGCTTGGCAGCCTGCAGTGACAGCCACCAGGCACATCTGCAGAGCAGGTTTGCAGTGTGCAAACACAGAGCTCACACACATCTGAGGACTGACAGTCTGTGGGAGATTATTGTGAAATGAGATGTCATACCCTGAAGACCACTTCAGAGATCCTTTTGCTTTGACCCATGTGTCTTCTCACAAGATCACCTGGAATTTCATTTTACAGGTGGTTCTCTTCACGTTTCCTATCGATCAAACACTGCCCTGATTTTCATACCAGTATTGATTTCAGTGTAAATTGCTGATGCTTAGCATGATGTGTAATCTGGATTTATACTGTATGAGCATCAAAATCCACAGAGCTTTTATGACCTTCCCTCCCTTTCTCAGTTTGCTCTATAAAGTCACTTCTTTGAACTCAGGAAGTCATAAGTAGAATAAGCCTGAGATTTATTCTTCTGTACTATGCCTTTCCTGCCAGACAATGCTCATTAGGCCTTAGTCAGAATTGTTTTTTGTCCTTCCAATAAATGCTTATATGAAACCCAGTAGCAGCACAGAGATTGTATGATGGAAACCTATGTTGAAATTTAATTCCAGAGATGTCTACCTTTTGTTCTTCTTTATAGAACTTTACCTGATGAGACCCACCATCCCTTTGTAAAACAATATTCAGTTAAATAGTGCTATAGTATTCACCACAAATGATAGAAAGAATTTTGTTCAACAGAAATTACAGATTACCAGATAAAATACTAAAAAATTAGCCAAGATACACATAAAATTATGGCATAATAATAATAATATGAATAAATACTTTTAGTGGTATACCACAAGATGCAAACTGACAGTAGAAAGATGGATTTTCAGTCAAAAGGCATGCTAACAGAGAACATGGAATTTTCACTGTAACTCTTTAAACTAGGACTAGGTTTTGTTCTTAAATTCCTGGGAAAATATTCTGTCCTTTGAATATCGTAACTTCAGTTCATGAATTACTGTGTCCCTTATCCAGTCTATGGGAATATGCATCCTCCCTGTTGGGAGCTAGTGGGCAAATACTACTTCATCACTCATAAGTATTTGGCTTGATTCCATTTCTACAAGGTGGTTGCATGTAAAATGCACTTGTCTGATGCCATGCCTCTAGTAAGCTATTGGGCATTGATTCATCTGGTTGATAGGCTGACTTGATGACTAAAATTATTTATATGCATCATATATTTCTTTATATTAAAGATCGATTGTAGAAAAGTTCCTGAACTTTCTGAAAGACCCTGCATTCACAGTAGAGAGCTGAAAAACACAGGGAAGTTATGGTCTTCTCAGCACTTATGTTAAACTCAAGGGAATTTACACAGTCAAGCAGAGACTTTTGTTTAAACTTATAAATACACAGACTGCTGCAGGAGCATAACGCACATGTATCCCCAGGGCTATGGTTTGGGAAGGTTCCCAGGCTATAAAAATAGCAGAAGCTGGCTAGCACTGTGGTAAAGGTTTTAAAGCTGGTGAAATGAACTAATACCACCAGTCCCATTTAAAATTCAGTGTGTGCTGCAATCCGTGGGGGAAGTTCAGCCATACGGTCCCAAATTGCGCAAGGGCCTTTCATAACAACCCATATTTCCACCGCAGGAGCCCCACACGGCGTATGACACAGCACACAGGCATGCACAGCCCCACTCCAGGCAAGATCATCTCCTTGAGCAGACAAAAAGGTCTTCTGGTAAACCTGCAAACTGCAGAAATAGTCTGTGAAAGGTGGCTCTTGATAGGATGAATATATTTCCCTTGCACGGCAAGGAAAATCTTCATGGCACTGTGGTTGCATTCAGCATCTGGGTGAGTTGCTTACAGACACTCCTAAATAAGCAGCATCTTACTGTTTGTGGGAAGGAAGCATGGAGTTACCTGGCTGGAACAAAAGAAAGTGTTCTACCTGTATTCAGAGCAACAGGCAAACAAACTCCTGATCCAGCACATGCTCAATTATTTGAAATACAAAATGAATATATTACATTGCAGATTTGCAAAGGTTAGGGTTTAAGTGAGGACAATATGAGGTTTTGTGCTCCATAACATTTTCACTGATCAGTTTTCCTCAAACCACAATTGGTTAGAACTACTATATGCAAAGCATACCAGGATTAAAATATACATACAGTGCTGAAGATCTATCATAAACACACAGTTTCTCAGGATCTGGGCCTTGGAACGAATGTACACAGTACTTTTTAAAAATAAATCCTTAAAAAAATTGATTTTTTATTTTGAAATTTTTCAAACAACAACTAACAAGGCCAAAAAAATAGTCCCTCATTCTGCAAACAGGTTGAATGCAGTAAAAAAAAATGGTTTGCTTCAAATTATGTGAGGAATAAGAGTGGTTTGGTGTTAAATTTCCAACTGTGCAGTACTTCCTAGGTGAACACATTAGTTTCACTAGAAAGAACAAAAAAGAACAGCAATGATAAACACTGCAAAGCACACATGAGTGCACTGTTGTGACTGGTAAATGGTAAGGCTTGTGGCAGCTCCGAACTGCTGATAGCTTCTCGCTGGTTTAATAAGAAGGAACGTGCCTTTGTTTCAACCAGCTTAACTCAGTATCAATTTTTATAAATAGATTTCACCTGAAACAGATAGTAGGCGGCATCTGAGCACACAGAGAGAGCATTTGAGCTTAAAGGACAGGTTTAAGGCATTAACCATAATCCTCTTGTATCTAGGAGATCATGCAAAGTCTTTATTAGTTTTTTTTTAGACTTGGAAACAAATCAATTGATGCTGTTGCTATGATTCAGCCATCAGCTTGACTGGCTGCATTCACTTTTTTCTGTATAGTCTGTTATTAAAGGGAGGGAATGAAAATAACCACTGGTGCTTATTTTAAGCACACTTATCAACAACAATCTCCTATTTTATACTAAGAGCAAACACTGTTTAATATATCCTTTCATAACTAAATACAAATTACTAAGAGATATGGGGTCAATAAGTGCTACCAGCTTCCAGGAACATCCATTCTTTATCAAACTTTTATTTTTTTTAATAGCATTTATAATATCTGTTCAGGAAAACACTGTCAACTGTTTTAACAGAGGTTTACAAATCACTGCTTTGTTAGGAAAGAATGTCTGTGTTGCATCCTCTGTTAATATGCTTCAATTGTAAATAACTGCCAGCAGCATCTCGTACAATAAACTCCAGACCTCCCAGTGCCATGATGATACACAGAAATAAAATGTAGGCAACTACTCTTAATTTCCACCTGCAGGAGCACACGAGCTTGGACACCACTGGATGCTCTCCTGCATGCCACCAGGACACATATGGATATTCAGGATATTTTCACACACACACTCACAGTGCAGACACAGCCACAGACCTGCTCTTTGCCACACCAGGCAGTAGGGGTGTGCAGATAACTAACTTTTGAGAGCAGAATACACTAATAAATTACGTAGGTGTACACCTTACCTTTCTCTTTTCAGAGCCCTGAAGACACAGGCAGATAATGTTGTTCACCTATGTGTGCTTCAAATACAGCTTTCTGCTGCTGCAGAAGCCGTGCAGGGAAGCGAGGAGGGGTTTTACACCCACTGCCCGTACATCAGCTACTCAGCAGCCCAGTGAGAGCACCAGGGAAGGGCATGGCCCTGCCCAAGCTGCTGAGGCACACCTGATGGAGCAGGGTTTTGGGAGGCACAGGCTGGGCAGCTCCCATTCTGCAGGCAGTGGTCACAGCAGGGTTTCAGAGGGACCAGGGAAGTGACACAAAGCAGAGGTCTAAGGTTGGGCAGAGATTTGAGTATCCTTTTTTGGAGTATAGATACCCAAGCTCCATCTAAATCTAATAATAAATTCAGCTCCAAGGTGACATGCTGAAGTCCCACAGGGAGCTTGTACATGAACAGCTATTGAACCCAGTCCTACACCAGAACAATAATCAATAACCCACTTCCACCTTAACCATACCTGAATCTCTAAGAACTGCAGCTCCAGCATATTCAATCCAGAGGTAAGAGCACTGGAAAGGAGATGGGGATGTACAAGGTGACCTGAATAAGTATGGGCAATCACACAACTGGAACAATTAAAATGATTCCCCTTCTTGGGGAGTCACTTGATTTTATAATTAACTTCGTTTAAATGAGTTTATTTCTTGCAGGCTCTGTAGTACTAATGACCCACCCAGACCCTGAGGAACACCTACCTGTGCAAAACTTGATAGATATTCTTTTAGGCAATTTTAATTCTTGTTTGGTTAACCATTAGACCTCCTCAACTGCACCTAAGGAAAGCAAAGGTTTTGTATGCTCTGTCTCCATAAAAAGAGGACTCAATATGTACAGTGACCTGGAGACAGAGATCTGATCTTTTCACTTAGTTAACATCAGATAACATATAGTCCTGCTTTCTGCAAGACACAGCACAAGTCAG